TAGTTCCACATGCTTTGTAAAGAAGGCCTTGCACTCAAAGGACTTAAATCACAATTTTTAACTGAATTTTTGCTTTTATCAATTCAGTGTGGGCCTCGCAGAGACTCTATCTTTTGAAGGCAATTTTGTAAAAACTTACGCAATGCACCGGGCGGAAAGTGTTGAATATTTAAAGGTATTTCATATAAAGGAAAGCACTTGGAAAACACTCTAAGTGCGTAATCTAGTATACCGAAATACTTTTTCAAATTATACATTTGCAGCGTCTCCCGTCTTTGAATATAATGGTGATAATGTACCGATCCAATTTTTCGGCAAACCGTTTACCATCTAAGCAATGAAACTCGGCATTGCCTCCACACACCAACAAAGATGAGAATTCCTTTTGAAAACAGTGTTTGAAATATAATAAAACGTACCAGTAGCATTCGATTTTTGCATAACCCGCGAAACCGTTTTAATTTTTTTAGCTATTTTAGTGGAGGAATCCATCGAACTTTTCGCATATTGAGGAAACAAAATCGGGAAGGTCATTTACATCCATTTACTTCAGAATTCCCCATAAACGTAGGGTGTATACAATTCCTGAAATTCCCGTTCATTATTTCACGAATCATTTGACGTTTCAGTGTTGACAAATTTTTCGTATTACGTAAGTAAAAAACATTGAACTTCTCTCAACGGACTCAACGCTGCAAGGAGAATCTTTCTCATAATTTACTTTTTAAGAGACGAAGTTACCGTCTAAAATTCAAACGTTCCTGTTAGGCTTATTGGCGCATTGATAACAAAATCAAGAAACTGCTGCAGGACCTCAAGGCTCATTTGTTCAGGACGACCTTGTACATCTCAGGTTTGAACTTTTCGTGGGAACAAGTGCTGAAGCCTACATAACCTATTTTGAATTTAATCGCTGAACTATAAACTTGTGTGTTCGACCCTCGACGAACGCCTCCGCAACACCCGAGCTTGTCAGTAGTAGCCGATGATTTCCAGCGTCCATGATTCGGCCGGATATGTTTTCTTGTCTGTTTGACCGTAAGAACTCTGAGTACAGAATAGTTTCAACGCAGGGGGTTTTAAACATCGTGAGCAGCCATGGAGGACTTTCCTGGTAAGTAACTGTGTTTTCTTCCTTATTCTTTTTTAGCAAGGTAAGGCACGGATGTTTCAAGACCCCCTGCGTTGAAACTATTCTGTACCCAGAGTTCTCACGGTCAAATAAGCAAGCAAAAATGTCCGGCCGAACCATGGACGCTGAAAACCATCGGCTACTACTAACAAGCTCTCCAGCATAAAATAGCTTTCATGAGACCACCGAAAATTATACTCTACAAATTCAGCGCAAATGTTAGGTGTTGTTTATTACGTCCCCGAGTCCCCGCGTGTCCCCGAGTCCCACGACCCCGAGTCCCACGACCCCGAGTCCCACGACCCAAGTCCCGAGTCCCACGTCCCCGTCCCACGTCCCCGTCCCACTTTTAGTCACAGCCCTTTTCCTGCCCGTCACACAACGCTTTTCCTTACGTGTTGTTCTTCATAAAACCCTAAGTACCCTTATTTACTCTATAGGGATAAAGTTGATGAATAGTCTTCTCTAGTATTTCTGCAATTAAAGCGTGAAGAACTATCTGCACAAAGGTAACAATGTTTCGCGTTGTGTGTCGCCGTCTCTGGGTGAACAGGCGCTGTCAAGCGGGTATCAATTGCCGTTTTGAAGTCACTCAAAGGTTCTTTACCAGTGAAGACAGCCCCATTGAAGCTGAGGGTTACAGGGACTTGCAAGTTCTTACGAGACATCAAAAACAGCAAGTGAGTGCATCCATTCGACTTATTTGTATATGCGAAACGGGTGTTGGGAAACCTGGATGTTACCAATTGGAAGACTAGTGTTACTTTGGGCGAGTTGGGTACATTGGTCAAAATTGGTGTGGTTTTAATATTTACAACTTCATAAATGCAACCAACGTCGCACCTTGTGTTTATTCCAGGAACCATGCACGTTGTATCTGAAGGACATTCACCTGCGTTTGTGACCTTTAAGAGCCAGACGTTTTTTTCTAAAATCTTATCTCGAATGTTAACTTAAGCAATGTCTTGGTTAATTCAGTGATATCCAAACAAAGTCCCTTGGGCATAGAGGCCACTTTTAAGTGTGTTTTAAAATTTGTCTAAATAAATGGATCAATGATCTGAAAGTTTGTTGATTAAGTTTAATTATCAATTACTAATATTGCTAGTATGAAAGACTTGGGTATCTAGTGGTTCCAGATGTCTTCAGCAAGGACCATATTGAACAAATGAGGAAAGAGTTGGATGGATATATTGAACGGCAAGTAATAAAATTTGGCTCTTTATTCCAAGGAAGTGCATGTTCTGTAAAAGACCAGAGACATTAATGTACCTGACACATGAATGTTTCCTGGGCAACCATTGTTGTAATGATTTAAATTTAGAGTGACAAACTACCCAAAAGACCACTATCATAAATAGTGGGTCCAATTATTAATCTTCTGTATGCATATAATGTAGACTTTTGCTAAAGTGTAAGACTAAAAAGGCTAAAAAGGCCAACATCAACAAGGTATATTATTTTTTTAGAGGAAAACATGTTCTGACTTCCTCTTTTTATATCTTCTCCAGTTCTCGCAAACTCAAACAAACAAATCATTTGTTTGTTCTGGACCGACAGCATACTGAAAATAAGCCTATCCTACTAAGGCTTCGTTGTATTTCAAATCACAGCAAAATTTTCCTGGACACAATTTGTGATGCTAAGTTGGTGGAAATTACATCTGATCTGGTAAGGCAGAGTCAACCTCATGAAAATTTACACAAATTATTTTCATAATATTTGATCACTTATTACAATTGCTCAAGCTGTAGTAATGTGGAAACTGTTCTCCACTGAACAGTGAAACATTAAACCAACTGGTCAAAGAGTTGTCAGAAAAGTTACACATTAATCCGACATAAATTTGTGAACTTTAAGAGCATAATATGTCAATAATGTTAATGGTCAACCAAACATTATGTTTGTGTGTAGTCAGACCTTAAAATTTTAATCTGCCTGTTTGTGAATGATCAACTGACTCAAACTCCAAAGGGAAACACTCCAAGATAGTTAAAAGGAGCAGGCATTGGAGCTGGAGTCAAAATAAACTATGAAAAATATGACATTTAAGAAAGATATCAATTTGAGTTCTAGCAAGCAAGAGGGTTTCAAATAACAAAGTTTGAAATAGCAAGGTTAACCAATTTAACTATAAAAATCATAATTTATTTTTTTTGTGTGTGAAATCACTTCTGTTTCAATTTATGTTTAGTATATGCCAGTTATGTGATTTCTAAGAAAGTTGTTGTTTTCCCCTGTTTAAGATTGGTCCATCAGTGCGTTACATAAATCAAGAGAAAGTCAACTTGAAACCACCAGAAAGTAGTACCTCAGTTATCAGATGGCATCAGGATTGGGCATTTTTCCCCTATACAAATGATAGTCTGGTCACTGTTTGCATAGCCATTGATGACTCTACCAAGGAGAATGGTAAGCTCTCTGATGAGCCATTCTTTCTCAATAGGGCAGAGGTATATACTGCCTTAAAAATAAGTTGAAAATGTGGTTATCCCAAAACAGAGCTACCTATTCAACTTAAGTATTGTGATCAACAGATTCTATTCATGGAAGAAAATTATAAGAAACTATGTGTGGAATGATTCTGATCAATGCATGTTTCTGATAAAAAATTTAATTGTACCACTGATTTTAATTTAAACAGGATGCCTTCAAGTTATCCCGCGTTCACATAAAGGTCCCCTATACTCACACTTCCAAGACAATGCATTTATATCTGCTATAACAGACCCTGCCTTAGACTCTAACTCTGCAGTCCATGTTGAAGTTCCTGCAGGTGGGGTGTCCTTTCATCATGGCTTCACAGTCCATGGTTCTTCTGCCAACATGTCTAGACATTATCGCCGTATGCTTTGTTTTAACTACAGCTCAGCAGACAATTGGCCTCTTATTGGTGTTGGAGGGCATGAGTTTACTAACCATGGTCCAGTAGACTGGGAAAGATACTGTTCCACTGTGGTTAAAGGCAAACCCAGTTTATTTCCTCGCATGCAAGCACTGCCTGTCTCTATTCCCATTCCTTTTGATTCTGGTTATGACATTTATGAACATAGTAAATCTAGTGATGTAAGTGATCCTGAAAAGTGGGAAGCATGAATTTCAAGTGCAGGGGTGTCCCAAAAGAAAAAGAGTGAAATTTAATGGAGTAATAATAGGCCTTTGATTATCATTGAGTCTCTCAATGACAATAACAGTAAAATTCCTGAACAACTTTTACTTGATTAAAATTAATCATCACTGCGTCTCTCTATCACACTGAGGCAAATGTCATTGTAACACTGGGGCAAATGTCATCGTGAGCAGGCTCACATGAGTGTTTGTGAGGTCAAAACAGTAACTTGTGTCACAGAAACATATCTTGGAAGTACTCTTCAAATTCTTCCTCCCTGTATGGAAAACAATAGTAATTCAAAGCAAATGATCACTTCTGAGTCTCTGTGAGGAATCAAACTTCAGATCTTTAGATTCTGCACTACTTTGCTCTACCACAGAGCCACAGAGACTCTATGGTGAGCAAAGCCTACTATGAAGTTAATATATGACACATGTCCTGAATACTGCTAGGATCAGCAATGTCGTTAGCATCATGTTTTGTAAATACGTTTGATTCCTCATGGGAACTCAGAAACTCACCATCTTTCTTATTCTATTTACAAAATATGACGTAGAATCTGAAGGTCTGAGGATTGATTCCTCATGAGGACTTGGAATTTTTTCTTTGTCCCACACATGTGACAAGATGGAAAAACATCTTTTCCCATTAGATACATGTTCAAATAACCTCACAATTTATCTTTCCTCACAAAAGTAAGGAATGTCATATATCCTGGTGGGAAGATAGATAATATTTAGTTGATTTATCCTCTACACTCTCTCAATAGGCACATGACTTGTATACCTGTCCATTAAGTAGTCAATAAACCCTTTAATTACTCTGAAACATGTTAAGAATAAAGTCAACTCTCAAGAGTGCATACCTTGTTTTATCAACAGTAATCTTTGCTGGGCCTTTCCAGATATCTTCACCAGTACTTGTAGAGTTGGTGTTTTCAACATCTTTTGATGATCCACCATCTGTAGTACCTAGTGCAGTAAGATTCTTACTTCAGCAATGATACTTATATTTTTACTTATGAAAGAGAGATCTTGGGTGTTACTGTGTCATATTTGAAACATTTTGTTGGCTCATGCCAATAAATTATCTCAGAATCTGTAATTCTCTCTACAACCTGCTATGAATTTTTGGACAATTTTGTGTTTTATCAGGATGGCATGATGTATGTCTATGATGTATGTCTATTCTCATTGCCTGTTGGCCGGATGATGTGTTGATTTTTTTAGGAGAAATTTGATTGATTTACAATTACTGCAAGCCAATTTCTAATACCTCAAGTATTTACATTCAGTATAATACTAAACTTACTGCAGTTATCTTCAGAGTCTTCAGATGAACCAGACAAGTCTAGCTCTTTGTGTCTGTGATGTCTATTCCTCTTCTTTTTCTTGCCTGAATGTGATTTCTGTGACTCTCTATCCCCTTCTTTTTTCTTTTTCTTAGCAAGTTTCTTCCTTTGCAAAACACAGTTACAATTTGAATTTTTTAAAATTCTATATCACTCTAGTAAGCAGCTTTAATTACTAATTGTGACAGAGAGCAAAAAGATCAAGAGTAGCTAAAGAATGGATGGCTACCAAAAGATTACTTTCCCTTTCTTTGCTTGTCTCTCTGACCATCATTTAATGTATCTATTTAAAATTTGCAAGATAATATTTATTGATAAACTAAGGGGAATTGGAAATTGGAATTCTGTTTCTTTACCAGTGGAATACCTTGCCTCTTTTCCTTATGAAAGTAACTATAAAGTCTTTTTTGATTCTGTCCTTGGTAGGGTTTGAACTACTAAGCCAAGCTCCGTTTAACATTCTAAAATTTGAGCATACAGCAGAGCCTCAATTTGGGGGAAATTCTACCCTGAGTGAGGGTGTGTCCTTTAAGTACCTTAGTGTCTCATGAATTGAAGTGTCTCTGGGAAAAGTTTTTATTATAGTTAATAGCTCCAGTGTATCAGATTAATTGACTTACTTGTGATGATAGTTGAGTTTATAGGAACAATCTGGACAGAGTCCTGAGTGAAGTAAAAGTTGGTAAATTAATGTTGGAACTTCAGAATAATTGACCTCAGCAGTCAATAAGAATTGGTAATTAAAAAGGTTAGACTCAGAAATCTAAGTATAAGGTTTATACATACTGAGTTTAATGAGAGTATTTTTCTTTTCTCCATGTTCCATATAAGCAAAATTAACCTTGGTACAAAATAGAAAACAGACATCAGCCATATGGCACATGCACTCGCAAACCAATTATTGTATAGATGCTGTTCAGTAAAGTAGATATCTGGAGATCTAAAAGAGCTTAAAAAGTCAGATATACCATCCAATAATCAGGCATTCTGCATGTACTACTTGCCTCCCAGCTGCGAAGTCCTTCAGATTCTGAACATCTCTTGTCTCCACAGGTGAACTGCCCTAAAAATGAATTTGAAGAAAATACCAAGCAATAAATTTTTCATATTACCTTCACAGCATTAAAAATAAAAAAAGACTGTTACAATTCAGCTTTGATGCCATTAATTTACATGATTTTGTTGGGCTGGATAGTCTTGATCATCATACATTTTACATGCCCATGACCAGACTCCCAAACTGGTGGAATTAATGCCCAGGGATACTGGTAGGCCTGTTTACCATAAACGTTTGACAACATGGCCTATTTGACAAAGATGCACATCATCACTATCCTCTAAATAGGTACAAACATTCAGCTGGTTTTAATCTGTTGACATTACTATCCTTTAAACTGAGTTACCTACCAATCAAATGATGGTTAGGACTTGACATAATTTCCTACCCAGACCAAATTTTGTTTTGACAAACAGACTCTAAGAGCAACTTTCCATTAAGTGCCCAAAGTCATCTGGGACTGTAATGGTTTTGCTTCACTTTGCTCTGTGATTGGTTTAGAAAATCATTCTACTCTTTCACTCAGTCAAATAAAGTACCTTATTGTGTAGCATGTTCACTATACTTGTGTAAGAAATTTAGCTGATGACTGTTAATAAAAAGTGACCTTTTCACACCTTTTCCTTCAATGACTTCTTTTTCAATTCTCCACCTTAATGCCACCTGCAATTTAGGATAGTAACATCGTCAAAAACTCTTGCCTTATGATAATCATATCAAACAACTTGATGTGATCCTCATTGGTTTTGCAGTAAATAACACTTTTTTATCAGTCACCTTGTTTTCTTTGTATCTGCTAAGATCAGAAATACAGTACTCTTTAAAAAGCTTGTCATAATACTTCTTAGCCAAACGTTTTTCCCTAAAAGAAGATTGAAATCAAGATCATTACTTGAAAATCAAAGAAATGACAATCAAGTGTCACACCACTCAATGGACAGATTGCATTAATATAACACATACCAGGAACCTTCTGGGTCATCCTCTTCATTCCAAATAAACCTACAAATATGACAATTGATTAACTTCTAATGAGTTCTAATTATCTGGGAAGACCTCAGAAACTTCTTTCAAATGAAATGATATAGAAAAAGTTAATTAAAGCAGGAACACTCAACTCTGACTAGTAATAATGCAGATGTCAATTGGGTTTTAAAACTGACTGATTATTCTCTTATTTGCCAACTCCTTCTTTGTTTGAACAGAAATTAATCAAAAACCATGCAACCTAGGCCAATTGGAAAAATCTAAGATCATTGCATACATGGGTTTTAAGCCTCTAATACAAAGAGAGAAAATACCACATCTCAATTAAGGATAGTGTGAGGGCTTTTGTACAGTACCTCTCTCTGTGTACAATATATTGTCTGTAAATGTTAAAAATGATAACTTATCATTTTTCACTTTCTTTCTGGTGCTTCTGTTAGTGTTTGTGTGTAAATAAAAGGAAATTCAGTTTAAAACATTGAGGTAAATTCTATGCATGTCACAAGGGTTTATTAGTCTGCATCAATTCATTTTTTTTTATTAATCAATGACTGTGATACTCAAACTATGCACTTCATAATACAATATTTGTCAGTAGTAAAGTATACACACCTATGCTCCTCCTTGATAACATCCATGTCTGTTTTATCCCTGGAGCTATTTTAGCAGATAATAAATGACAACAGATAAGTAAATATGAGATTAAGAAGATTATAGATGGTCAGAAAATAATGTATTCATTACTTTTCTTACTATAACAGAAAAATTGTTTCAATAATATCTTTCAATTAAAACATAATATAATAAACTTCTAGTTGAAAGTATTGGGCCATATTATATCACCATAAATGCAGACATTTCCAAAGTTCCATACAATACAACTCTTACTCTTGGTTTGTAAACCCTCTACATTAGACATCAGTCTGCACTTTTTTAATACCCTTCTCTAAACATTTACTTTAGAATTGGCAAGGAGAATTTGTTTAACAATCAAGTTAGAGCTTCATTAGTGGTGATCACAGTAATAATGTAAGGAGAAATTAGATGCCAGTCACCTGTAAGAGTTAAAGGGTTAAACAACAATCCCAAAGCACAACTCAATGGTAGAGAAAATCAGTAACAAACCTGTCCCTTTTGAAATGTTCTATTCCTCTTCCATAGTATAAGATGTAATCATTGATCATTTTCTTGTGCTTTGAGTACTACATATTTTTAAAGTTACACGTTAAGGAATTGTTGACATAAAATGTAGGAAATTCTTCATGTATAGTGACCGTGCTGATAGGTTAATTTATACGGCACCAGTAAAGAAAGAAATTGAACTTGATTTAATTTTATACGATCCCAACCACACGGAAGGATTTCTAGTCAACATTATAAATGATTCGAACTTGAGTCTTCCGTCTGCCTTTAATTTTCTGTAAATACCCTATGTGGACAATCTTGAACATTTAGCGTACACTGAAGCAGCATAATAATCATAACGTGAAAGATACAGCATCCAAGGCAATGAAATCATATTTTTGGCCTTTAGCTTCTTGCCTGAAATTTAAATGTTTAAATTCTGAATTAGCAATTTAATTTCATCAAATTACAAAGTCGATATGTATAAGACAGTTTCTTTTAAATATTTCTAATGAGACATGCCTGCTATATTCACTGGAAACTACACGTTTAGATGGTAAACCGCCAGTTGTATTGGCCTTCCGTTTGATCCCTGATAGTTCATCGTCTCTCCAGGTCTTGCTCCTGTTTCAGAGAAAAGTTTCGATTACAAGGATATTTTAACAAAAAGAGTGGTTTGAATATACACAAGCAAGCTCAGCGAGTCGTACAACTTTTTACCTCTCCGCTGCTTCCTGTTCATCAAACTCAGAACCATATCCCACGCCGTAATCAATCTGTAAGCGAAAAATGTTTAGGTTTTACATGTTGAGGGACGAGATCCAAAGATCGTTCCCATGTTTTTTAAGACATAAGATGTATTCTTGCCTCTTGCTGCCTTCCTTCCGCCATGTTTTCTTTTTAGCTACGAAACGCTGAAAAGTATGGAGGGCTCATAATTTCTTTTCTGGTTACCAGGTTCTTCTACTATGTAAAGAGGAATGATCTGGGGAAAGTGTACATAGATTATAGATAAATTTTAATAGCTGATGCAAACAACCTGTAGAGAAAGTGGATTCATTGGGATTTGAGAGATCCAGCAAACGCGAGTACGAGAGTACAAAATGGGTCTTTCAAGTTGGTTTCAGGATCTTGGTGTTCCGTGGAAAATATCCATTGGAATTCTTAGTGGCGTTGCAGTGGTGACAAGCGCTTACGGAGTGTACACACTGTACAACAATCATAAGTCAATCGATGAAAAGAAGAAATCTGACGATAGTGAGACAGCTGGGGAAGCAGCAGAGAAAAAGGTTCTAGTACTGGGACTGGAAAACTCTGGAAAGAGCACATTTCTGGCCGCTTTGGCTCAGCACGACAGCCCCGTAACATCTGAGCGCGAAGATAGCCAGCCAACCCAAGGTTTTCATGTTGTTTGTGTATCAACCAGAGGCGTTAGCCTAAATGTTTGGGAAAGTAAGTAGGCTTTTTCATCGCAGGTAACGAGAGAAACACAATGCAAACATGGGTTAATTACGTACTTCGCGCCATATTAGTATTGTATTGTCAGTTGTAATGGAGAGCTTTGAAGATTGGTGATTTACACAAGCCTCTGAACACTGTGTTTATACCTTTGTAAACTCGATCTTGGTGCACTTTTTCTCACACTTTAGCTGGTTTTTCAAGACGAAGTAACATCTTCCATTTAATACAGTAGCAGTAACTAGTAAATGGCTCTTTTTAAGAGATTTTCCCTCTAGTTCCATCTTTACTAATTCCTTGTCGAGTTTACTCGTAAACTCGTCTATATCTATCTCTGTCCTTGACAACCAAAAACTGTCAAGTCACCTTTTGGAAAAAGGCGAGAGAAAATGGCCATGTTTCTGTAACTGCATGACCAAGACTGATGATCAAGGAAAACTTGTGGAGAAGAAATGGATAAGTGAGACAGTGGTTAATCACCTTATTTATGAGGCTTATTTTATTTCAAAACATTTGATGAAATATGCCTCACCCACAGGTCACACAATCCTCCCTCCTCCTACCCCAAGCTCTGTCTCTTTTTTCCAACACTGAGCTATAGAGAATTTATGGATAAGCAAGACTGTGTCTCAGGTTCAATTGTGACAAGTGTCCTACTTAATGCTGAGACTGTAATAGAAATCATCATGTATGTGACCAGAAAAAGAAATATGGTAAGATTTAATGAATAAAGGGGGTAATTTTCTAAAGAAACTGTGGTGCTTCATGGGTGGGAGAGTATAACAGGGTAATTTAGTATTAACAACTGGGTTGAAAACATAAATTGGCCTCTGTAAAGAGTTTAAAGCCTGACATTTCGAATGTTAGCCCTTCATTATTCATCACTCTGAAGAAGGGCTTATGCTCAAAATGTCAGCCTTGAAACTCTTTATGTTGGCCAATTTACGTTTTCAACTCAGTTGATAACACTTAATTACCATGGTGAGATTTAAGCTTGGTCATCAAATTTAAGTAAGATGTCATGAACATGGAATTGATTCATAAATTCCTCTATTAGATGACCCAGCCTAAAGTTCTACACCATTCTTTAGATAGTACAAGCCCAATGTTAGAAAAGCATAATGAACAAATCTTTGCATTTTTCTTGTTTACCAGTTGGTGGAACATTTCAATCCTACTGGCCAAACTTCCTCTCTGATGTCAGTGTCCTTGTGTACGTCATTGACAGTAGTGCTCCTGAAAAGTTTGCAGAGTCTAAAGATGCCCTGTTGGCAGTTCTTTCAAGGGAGAGCATCAAGGGAGTCCCCTTGATAATACTTGCCTGTAAACAAGATGCCAAAGGGGCAAAGCCAACACAGGAAGTAGAATCATTCTTTGGGCTTCAGGAACTATCTGCCAGTCGTGAAACTGGAATTGTTGGTGTTGAGGTCTTGGCCAGTGGAGAAGTCCATGGATTGGAAGAGGCCAAAGAACTCATTTTAAAGTTTTGTGCAGAATAGCTGGTTTTCCTCCTTGAGGTCCTTTGCTGGAAAGGCCTTCATGAAGAATACGGTTTAGTCATTTTCTATTTATGTCAACATAGGTAGCTATGTCCAACCACATGTTGTGTAAATAAACTATACCTGTGAAATATTTACTTACTGCAACAGAGTCTTGGTAAGAGAAACTTAGAAATACTGGCTCCTCTCTCGAGTATGACAACATTCAGGGAACTGTGATATTTCTCATTTCTACCTCAGCTAGCAATGCAGTAGAACAGACTGGAGTGATGCACTGCATAACGCATACCCAACTTGTCTTCCTCGATTTTCTTTGAATTGTCAGAGGTTTATTGTCCTAATGGTCTGTGGGGGCTCAGGTTGAGTCCAATTTAAGAACTCTGAATTCTGGCTTAAGAATTAAAGGTCATTGTTGTTCTTTTTCCTTATCACATACCCAGTGACATGGATAATAGTCCAATAGTTAGACATTTGAGATTACCTGTTGTGAGCCTTCAATTTATTTTTTTCTGTTTTCCCCAACATAGTCTCAACCCAGGAGTAGTAGTTGGTAGTGGAGTCTATTTGTCCAGGTGAACGTAGTCTCAACAAGCACTGTTGTCCAGGGTGATGGTGAATATTTTGACAACCTTAGTGGAAGTCTCTATTAAAGTTGTAATTTATGGTTTTTTAAATTTTAGTTGCTGTCACTGTCAGCAGTCCTTTTCATTACTACTTTCACCTGGACAATCGGATCTCGTGTTTAATTTTTGGTATTCATTTAAAAGACAGCTTTCCAGTATAAACTGTAAACCAATTGTAAGTAAAATGACAGCAAAGATGTCCTCTATGAGATGAATTGCCTTTTCAACTATCTAAAGATACCCTCAACAAACATCATAACTTTAATAGGGAAGAAAGTAATAATTAAAACACATGAAAGTACTCAATGGAAAATTCATGAGGTATGGGTATCTTAAAATCAATTTTTTAAAGGAAGGTTTAGATCTAGTTGATATGTAAGTTTCATCAATGACCTTTTAAAGACTCTTTCCAAGAAAAATCATCTACTCTAAACAAAAAAAATTATAATAGTAGTATCCTGGATGGCTTGACAGAGGTTCAAAGTAAATGATTTTCCAGGTTCAAAATCTAGATCTCTGATTTACAATTGACTCCACTAAAATAATCCAGCAATGTTAAGAGGTCTAATGTACACTTTGTGTGGAAAAATGGAAGGGTTTTACTCTTTGGGTCTTAGGTGTGGGAACTTGGAAGAGGAAGAAACAAAGGGATAACAAAGGTTGCATGTTAAACCAGGAATTTATTGTGAATAATAATTTTCAGCCCAACGTACATTGACTTAGCCAAAATGTTATCATATTTTGTATAATAAGCTCAGTTATGCACGCATTCTGATTGGTTCTCACTTATGATCTATTGGAGAACAGACGTATAGATGACATTATTAAAACTTTTTTTAATTCTTTATTATATAAAACAAATAGATTCCAAGTTGCTGTGCATCTGTTCAGCAATAGATCACAGATGACATCAAAATGTGGTAAGAACAAAAAAGTGGCACACGAGGTGCATCCAAGTGTGTCACTGATGTTCTTACCACATTTTGGAATCTATTTGTTAAAGGGTGGCTAATTTTGATATTTCATGTTAATGAATAATTTTTGTAAGATACCAAACAAAATAGAATGATACTTCTTTGCATAATTAACCAAAATTTGTATGTGAACTAAACATGCAACTCTATTAACTACTGATCACTGTCTTTCTTTTCTACTTTTTGTTTTTTTATTTATTTATTTATTTTTCAATTCAAAGAAATTTTCGCAGCAGCAACATCACTTTTATACCATTGATGACCACCATCACTCAGTAATGAGAAGGGTGCAAGGAAAACATGGTTTCTGAGCGGCCTATAGATTCTCCTCCTAGTTACCCAAGTGTTTCCCTGAGAAACAAAAATAATTTGCTCATAGGAAAAATAGAAAAGATACTTAAGCAGTGCTTTACTAAATCTACCATAATGTTACTTAAACTAGGTTAACACTGGCTGATTTTTTGAACTGCAATCAGGAAAAAAGTAGAAAATCTGAAGGAAGGAAAAAACTAAATACAATCAAATGAAATCCACATTACACAATTTTCATGGTAAATAAATCACCAGATTACTAGAATGACTAAACACCAAATACATTTGTAACACACTTATCTGAAGCTTGGCTGATACTACAAAGATGGTAAAACCTTTAGTTTCAAGAACTTCATTTTATTTTTGATACATCTTTTAAGGAAATGTAACATGCAAAATTGTGCTATTCCATGTACAAAGCATTTACTCCATTCAAAATTTAAAGTAGGAAATACATTATTTTCTAAATTTCTTTTTTGCCAGGCAATTATTATTGACAGAGGTTGTGGAGGTGTTTGTGTGTTGAAAAAATGTTATGCATGGAATAAAGTATATTACTAAAATTATCCCTATCACTTATATATTTTATTTTTTTTAATTTCTCTACCTTTGTGTCAACACAAAAGAGACATCCTAATGTAACAGGCAACTAACAACATGGCTGCAAAAACTTAGCTGTGTTTTTTCAAGAAAACAATTGACTAGAAGTGGAGAAATTACTTAAATGGCTGATTAAATGGTCTTATTTTAACTTTTTCCATTTCGATTGTGAATGATTGAGACTTTTCCCTGGATAATAAATTTCAGCTTTATCACTTTCAGTAAAGATATAACCTTTTGGTTTACATTTTTGCTGTTATGGCAAAAATGAAACAAGAATCACTGACAAATAAATAGAGTGATAATAAAAATATTGCAATAATTTTAAAACAATGTTTATAATCTTGATATCCAAGTAAAAACACTTGTGTGATTTAAAATAGAACAATCTCCCATCTTGCAAAGTGTAAAATATATGAAGATATATAAAACCCACCATAACCATTGGATTTATATGCATAACAGTGAAATTCACTGAATGGGTGTGGATATCTATACATAGCAGTAACTGCCATTTTTGAAATCTTAAAAGGTGTGTAAGGCCTATATCAATTTTACTTGGTTTAAAATAGAAATTGGACTTGTGCAAAATGTGGTATATAAGATGCTTTCATCAAGCTTGCTTACTTTCTATATCTTTGCCATCAATCATGGCCTTTGCAGTGCTTTGTCAAGAGTTTTTCATCAAATTAAAACTAGAAAAGTTTACCAACAGTAATAATTTCATGATCTCCCTTCAAATTGTCAAGCAAATTCAAATTCTTGTTTAAACAACATAATGATATTATTCCTCATTACATCTTGTCCAAGGGGCTCACACCATTCTTTTCCTCATAAACAGGAGTTTTGGGCTCCTGTGTACTTTCATCACTCTCCGACTCAGTAGAATCATCATCATCATCACACCTACACACACTTCCACTAGAATTCTTTGAGATTTGCCTGTGAAAGTCTAAAGCACATGATGATGGGTGGTCCTCACTGAAGGAGAAGCCCCTTGGGGCAAAGGCACTGCTTTCTGTAGGTTCAAACAGCTCTCCTGTATGCTCCACTGTGGATTCGTGTGGCATCTGTGATGTGAAATCATTCTCAATTGATTAGAATCTTACTGTACATACTGTACTGTACTTTGATGACATCAAAACATTTCACATAACTTTTTCAGGCAAGATTTGACTTGACTGTCATTCTCCATTGTTTTATAGCAAGTAAATGTCATCAACATTGGACTCAATTATTATTTGACGACAGGCAATTTAGTGTTGACAACTGAGTTGAAAACATAAATTAGCCACAGTGAAGAGTTTAATAGCTGATGGTTCAAGTGGTAGCCCTTCATCAGAGCAATTGGGAATTATTATTTGATGACTTTGGCATGAATAGCTCTAAAAATAAAGAACTAACCATAGCTAAAATTTAACCCATTGAAACATTTAATTTTGGCAGCGTGGTTGCCAAGTAAAAGCTTAGTTGAATGTAATCATTAACAAAATCTTTAAAATGGATTTGGATGAGATAAAATATCTTACTAACCAGTTGTGGTGGAGCTCTAAAGAGATAACTGAAGGGATAGTGTAGCAGGTTCACACAAGAGGCTGCATATAAATCAGCATAGCGTGTAGCTTGGCTGGCAAAGAAGGTCTGTCTGTTACCTAAAGAGAGAATGTGGTAACAGTAGTAAGTAAACATGAAAAGCTGCTTAACTGATACAATAATAACTTGTTGGTGATAAATTAGTAACTCTTGGAAGCAGTTGTGACAAATCGTCATCACAAACTATCTCTGTTCTGTTCTTAATAGGCTGAAAGCTGGTACTGTGGCTCAATTGCTTCTTCACTAGCAAGTTAGTTAAATGCCCTTGGCAAAGTGAGCTGGCAAGGTCTCCAAGAGATCTAGCAACTCGTTATCAGTGCCACACCAGGTGCAGACCTCTGGCTAACTGGTGTTGCTCAAGGGCTCACACTTATTTGGGGGCGAAGAATTTTTTGCACTTAAGTGCTTATAATAAGTTCTATGTTATTGGTGGTTGGTACAGCTGTTGACCGATTTAGTTGATTCACAGAGACACAAGAAAACATGACCTGTGACTACTACTAAACTCTAGTTTTGACTCCCATCTGTGACCTGGGAAGGGGGCATCCCATTAAAATGTTACTAGGCTTTATTCCATTGACAAGGGTGATTCTTTACGAATTTTGACTGTGATAGGGTCTGGAGGGCACAGAGATCTGACACAAGTATAGCTCAGTACGTGTAATGGTCATTTACCAACTAACTGGTGTAACAGTGGCCCTGCACAAAAATTTCCACTGTTGGAAAGAGTTTAAAGGCAGTTCAAATGGAACAAGTGGTTCATTTTATTAAGAAAGATAACTAAAGGTGCATGAATGGGTCAGAAATACTTTCTTTCAAACTTGCACAATTGTTTATCATTATTTTGTGTCATGATTTGATGCTACACAAGCCATTACACTACAGATTGAGTGAGACATTAACAGTGGTGGGCAACAGTGTTTCCTCTTTACTTCTGTGGATTTGACAATCCATTGAAATACCTCTACTGAATATCACTATCATTAATTTAAAGAGTGTTTCCAAATCTTTGTTACTAATTATCCAAAATACAACTCATCTGAAAGCTGGAGTTTGATGTCATTGTAAATAGATAAGTGTTCATAATTTTAAATCAACAAAGTGTACGGCTGATAAGGAGTTAATTAACAGACTTAAATGAACATAACAAGTTACAATCAGTTATTTAAATAATCCTGTTGTATTTTGGTCTTTGTTCTCTGTATTCAGCTTCAGTAAGAAACTTAGTCAGATCCTCTGTTTTTCCTTTTCCATGATGAGTTGGATAGGAATAATCCAGCAATTCTCCAAGAGACAATTTTGGAAACTTTTTGGCTATTTCTTCATCAGATTGTCTGGTGAATAGCCTTGGATTGATATCAAGGCCGGTAGAACAAATGGGAGGGTAGATATTAGCAGTGTGATGATCCAAGCTGTAACCCTTTGGAAGATTATACTTATGCATGACAACAAACGCCTCTGAAGAGGATTTAGTGTCATGAAGCAAAAAACAAGGTAAATGCAAAAGCATTTTCAACGCCGATTCTTTAGCCATTCGAAGCTCTTCTGTAATAAATTTCAAGCGATTATCGAGTTCTCGTTTTGGCATTAAAATCATCCTCCAACAAGGATGCAACAAGTGGACATTCTCTATTTCTCCTTCCTTTTGAGTGCGAATAATTCCTCGAAGATAATTCACCTTATCATTTTGGTGGTCTTCAGTGAAAACAAGAACTGGTGGAGACCGTTCAATGAGTTTTCTTTTCTGTCTTGGTAGCAAGCCTGATGGTTTTAAGTATTCAAGACGTTGAAGTAGCAGTTCAGTTCTCAAGTACAACACGTTCGGTTGTTTAAAACGAACGTCGATCGCATCCAAGTCGTGGTGATTCGGCTTCAACGGTTCAAGGCCTAAAAGTGGTGTTTTTGATTTTTCAAAGCACTTGTATCTCTGCAGCTTCAACTTCTCCAGGATCACAACCTCTAACTGAGATTTAGAGCTATACTGCCTGAAAAAACCATAACGGAAACTTGGCTGGCGGCAAAGTTTAGCGACGTTTCTCCACATATTACCGGCAAATTTTTCTAATTTTTATACTTGACAAGTTAGGGAGTCTCAAACTAACTGTGTCCCGTTTTATAAGCACGATTCCTAACTATAACAATCAAAATTTGAGGAGAATCATAAACAAGTTTCCCATGCCACTGGCAAAGATGGCCGCCGAGCAAGTACTATTTACCAGTTTCTCCCGGATAACTTTCCTTTGTTGTCATGTAGTGAGCCATCAATTATCCCCACGTTTCCTGAACTATCCGTCAGAGTCGCTCTGGAAAAGAATTCCTACTTCAGATCACCACCACATATGTTGTAGTAGCAGGACATAAACTTGACGTTCATCTGCTCCTCATGATTTTTTGATGAGTACAGTCGTCAATCCTTTGCATTACTATCGTAAAACTCTCAAAATTCAAAAGAGCAGCTTTGCGATCTTACACTTAAATCTACGATCGTCTAAGATACTTCCTCCAGACCAGATGAATTGCAACTCCCATGAGCAGCTTCTTTTCGTTTATTGGCAGCCAAGAGGTGATCGTAGAATTAAGTCAGGATTTGACTCAAGATAGGCCCTACTACTGAACGCTACGGTCTCGCCCCATACGGGGGAAGGGAAGGGGCGCCGCTTTCTGAACATTCCACTGTTTCTTTTGATCACGAGTAAGTGGATGACACGTTGCAAAGGAAAATGTGTAGCACGGAGAATATCATTACAAGATGCCTTGTTTAGATTTCGAGTTCAAGGTGACAATGCCTTCTTTTATTTGGAAATAAGGGACTCTCACAAAAACGAAGGAGCGTCAATTCTTCTCTTATTGAGATTCCCTCTGCATGATTCACCAGACCCTAATGTTCATTATTTCGGTCATGAAAGTATGCCTTACTTATTCGGTGTATATTTTCCAGAAAATTTCATTAAAGTAGTGCTGAAACAAGAAATAATCTTTCAAGCCAAGGGATATAAAACCACACTGTTGATAACTAGTACCTTATTGCAAGATTCTACAAAATAACTGAGACCACGAGCACCCAGTGATTGGTATGAAACCTACCGTTTATTGCATCGGTAAACCCATAGAATATTTAAACATATAATGTTTTCCTTAAGTTTGTTTTATTAAAGCAACAGACCACACTTCCTGTCGGTTTATCGAGAGGAAAACCCACATGTTCTCCCAACATCCCAAGCGGATTCAGTTCAGTTCAGTCCAGTCCAGGCAGGTGTCTGTCGTTACCGATAATGTCCAGTGAGATCATCTATTCAGCTTGAGTCCGTCGAAGACGACGGCTCTTGAGTTTCTCCAGGTTCGTCTGTTAATCTAATTTTCTTCCTCTGCCGAGTGAATACTGGCTCACCACCGATCAAAGTGTTTTGAGGTCTCTGTCCAGCACACTGGATTCGTGACCCAATAATGACCCAAGCGGGTTATTTCGTCGGTAAGGCGATAGAAAGTGTGGTCTGTTGCCTAAATAATTAATATCTCAAAACATATCAGTATGTAGAGAAAGATTTTTTTTCGTCTTGTCACGAGTGTGGAACAAGGAAAACAAATTCTGAGTCCCTATGAGGAATCGAACCTCAGATCATTGGATGTGTAGCCATTCAGTGTGTGCGGTTTAAGTTGGACCTCCTACCACCCATGAACAAATGGAAAGTCATTAGGTTTGACTCTATTGTTAAATATTAAAAGCTGATCGAAACTCAGGAATGTTTTAGTTGTAGTTTGTTTTTCTGCGAGAGAAAGTTCATGCTCAGCAGCTTAAGTGCCACAGAAAATCCAGACCTATCAGGCAATTGTGTACGTTTCTGTGTATAAAAATTCGCACGAATCGTACACTTATTCCAATTCAAATAATCGGCACATTTTAGTACATGTATAGGTTTGGATGATCCGCCAACACTTGCCTCCTCTCTTAAGCTATGAGAATTGGAAAAGGTTTGGACTTACCGCTGCGGAAAAGACTCCCCATCTGTCCGTAACATGTCTCCATCATGTTAGTTACCTCCTGATAAGTAAAAACTCGAGATGTACAAAGAATAACAAAGCTCCCTCCAACATTGGACCACCACGATTAAATAAGAAGCCTCCAAGTATATTCTGTTTTTTTCATTCTACATTTATTAGTATTTTTACAACGTTTTTTACTAAAAGTTATGACCAAAAAATTTAATCTAATAACAACACATTTCTTACAATAAAACACTTACACTACATAAGTTACAATAGAGAGGCTAAGGTAACAACTGGAATAAATGAATTAAGATGACAAGACAAAATAGTGTGTGAACGACACGTTAAATAGATACGAAGCTGCTAAAATTACATACGTATGTGTCACTTTATCTTTATTTTTTGATAATTTCTTCTTTTTTTTCTTTCTATTCTTTTTTTTTCCCACAACTGCATTTGTTATATGCTTACTTACCCTTATGGAAGTTTTTATTTCTGTTATATCTGGTTTGTCAATCGCGGCCGAGTCCAAATTCCTAAGATAAATTAACATTATTCACGTTGAAAATGATTCCTCTGAAAGTCAGCAACTCACTCATGTATTCAGCTTGAAGGCTCACTGAACTAACAACCATACTGACAGCATTCAAACCTTTTACAACGAGCCTGTCTTTTATTCAATCACTTAACTGAATGTGACAGCTTAAAGCACCTCCTAAACTTACTTGTATGTATCAGCTAGTGCTATGTCAAGATCACGAAGCTTTGTGAAAACATCTGAAAAGGAGTAACAAGCCACATGTTATTATCTAGCACACCTGCAAGGAGTAGCAGTTGAAGACTGGGTTCTTAACGGTATTTTAGGACATGCCACACAGTTCTATGACAGTAAACACTCTAATTGGTCTCCTCAGGTTTCCAATAAGCCCCCTTCCCCTCTATAATCAGTAGTCCTCTCTAATAAGAGCCTGTGCCCCTCCCCCCAAATTTTTTTTATGTTATTGTTAATGTTCTTTTTCATTTAGGACTGGGTGTCTTTTGGCACCAAAGATATATGTAAGTGAAAAGCCTGGGTAATCAAAACTGACAAACCTTGTCTAGATTGCCACACCTCGAGTTCTTTAGTCAGTTCTGGAATCACGAGGTATGTTCTAAAAGTTAAGACAAAAAACAATGAATAAATAGACAGGATTTAATGTTAACATAAATAAAAAGTAGAAGCCCTAGGGATGTGCGGGGGGGAAGGAATGTCAGAGGAGAACAGAAAGTTATCAGAATTGAAAGTGGAGCTAATTGTTTATTCTTGTACTTTTCCTTAATTTTTTTCTTAATTGTTTGTTATTGCAATCTTGGAACTTAATTGTCTTTTCTTTTCTTCATTACTTAAATTTTCAAAAAAGTATTGTATAAAAATCCAAGTCTTCGGCTCTACCACCAGGCTAAACATTTGTTCAATTCCTCATATATAATTATGTGTAGCACACACACACGCATGAACAATTTAAAATATGCTTATTTTCAGTTCACCTCCATCCTTGCTTTTTCTTGGACTTGAGGATATCACCAAAAATGTGGTCTCCAATGTACAGAATATCCTGACAGAAAAGAAATTCTTGTCATTAAAACATGACATAAATTGGAATAAAATCACACTAGATAGTCTGCTTACCTTTCCCTCTGCCCCTAGAAGGTTACAAAACACATCAGAAGAACCTAGAAGAAGACAAAAGGTGGTTAAGAAATTTGTGGTCTGTTAAGTGCCAATTGTTAGGGTAGAAGAAGGTGTGCACCTCATGCAAGATTAACAGTAAAGAGAAATGACAACAATAAATGTATGCTGCCCTCTACAGGTTGTGCCTTACCTCCAGAGAACACTTGTCCCTCCTTTAGTTCACCAGAATATCTTCCAATGCTAAGAGCTCCAGTCTCCTGCAAAAATTAGCTCCAACAGTGAAACAGGGATTACGAAATAGGCGTTTATGATCAATGCAAATTCAAACATGTTTTAAAATGATTTGAAATACCATGTCTAAGTTTACTGGGCAAAAATCTATTTCTCTAAAAAATTACACTGTTAACAAAAATAATGATAGTAAAGTCAAGAATGATAAGATTAATAATAATATTCTAATCACTAATAGCTAATATACTAATGATAAGGGCAAAGTAAGACAGAAGAGCATAGCCCTCACCGTGTCAACCCTTCTCAGTGCTGTACCTGAAGGTGGTAAAAAAGAGAAATGCTTGTAAATTTGCAATAAAAAAGAAGCATATGTAACTGAAAACAACGCTTTACTATGTGGAAACTAACAGATATGTGACACATTGATTATTCATGTCAGGCACAATTGTCCATGTAGCTTATCAAACAAGTGTTCAATGAGGAGATTGAAAAAGAGCAGTTCCCTTACATGGCATAAACAAATTTTAATTTACATTTTACCAGTCTATTTCCCACAAAATAACCACTTTGGAACTGTACACTAACATTTAACCCTTCAATACCCACGAGTGACCAAGACAGAATTTCTCCTTACAAGATCAATACAACACCAACCAGACAATTGATGAGAATAAAGAAAAATATCAATTTGAGGATAATTGAGTTGATCCAAGTTGATCCAATACTAAATTCTATAATCTAACATTCAAAGAATTGTATGGTTGACAGTGAGGAGAATGAAAAATTTGATCTGACTGGGAGTTAGGGGGTTTAAGGTATATTATAAAACAAATAGTATAGCATTTTATTCCTTGTTTTAACACATATAACAGATTAGGTCTACAAAGGACCATAGTTGCACCAACACACCTACAACATGAGACTACGTCAACATGTAGTATAAAATTAATTTGTAATAGCATACTCTCCCTACCTTCTCCGAAAAAGAGTGGTTTTCTAGCATCTACACCAACATAATCAAAATAAGATGTCCACTTCTTGATAGTCTTTCCTGACTGAAATACAAGACATATTATATACATGAGAACTAGCAAAAAACTGGCATTTTCTGCAGGTTACTACTTTGAATAAGAAACAGTACATTTCTAAAACAATATGGAATACCTCATCAGTTTCATTTAACAAGAAGGACATGATTTTCTGCAGTGGGCAAAAAAAGAGAGATCAGTTTAAACAATAATCTTTATATTACTTTGAAACAAAGCCAAAGAAAATAAATTAAATAAACTACTTATATCAATAATTTTTAAGAATCCAAGGTAACTTACATCTGTGTATAAGAAGTCACTGTTTGTAAGAATGAACGTTTTGCGGTTACTTTGCCTCATTCTGTGATGGAAAAAAGAAAAAAAAATTAATTGAAAACAAACAACAAAATTAGTAAACAACAATATTCCTTCAACAATATTTCTGCTCAACACTAACCTGAAGAAATATTGTCAAAAGAGTTAAAATAGGTTAAAAAAGTGAACATACCTAGTCAGTAATTTTGGTAATTTAGGCTGCAAGAAACAAAGACAAATTTACAAATTAATGTGAAGTTTTAACTTTGTTTTGATACTAAAGGAATTAACAAATCATAACAAGCCCGGGAAAAGTTACCTGTGAGTGGGCACCATAAGCTTATAATGGCAACTGGAATCCTTTACACAGATACACAGCAAAAATACTACCAAGCAAAGGATTTGAAAACAATAGAACTAAATGATGTTCAACATTGGTTTGATACTCTTGGTAGTGAATTGAACCATTTATGACTATTCATCAACAAACAGAGGGGTTGACATTATATACAGACAGACCTCCGTCTAGCTTTTTCAACTTTTATTATGCAGGGATTTTTGATACAACTCCATACCAGTGATTTCAACTCTCATAGATTAAAGGATCTTATTTTTTCTTTGAGCTTAAAGAAGTAACTGAATGGAACAAAATTATATCAGTGCACTGACAGCAAATTAAGAACTGACCTCTTTAATAACATAAGTCTCAAGATTGTCTACAGTTAATTGCTTCAATGTGCCCTAAAAGAAAAATAAAATAAACAATTGCAAATCATGTCATAGTTGCCAGAGAGTGTTAAGATTAATCTCCACTACATCAATTTTTGTACATTGATGAATTAACTGGCTACATTTAGCCAACAGGTTTTTTGGTGTCCCATCATAGAAAATGCTGTGTAACCTGTGTTATCAGGCACTAAACTTCTTCCAAATTTCACTGTGCCTTTATCAACATAGGAGTATTCCCTGGGTAGGAACTGCAACATATTTTATGAGGAGAAACTTGTTAAAAATTCCATTGACAGGTAAACTTTCCTACAACAGCAGTGCAAATCCTTATGACACATAACTTTGTAATCTTGATGTTAACACATTGACACAAGTCACCAACTTAAGGTCTCAAATTTGTGTGTCAGTTGGGGCTCACTTAAACAGGTAGTATGTTACAAATTACCTTTAAGTGTACCCAGTCTACTGCTGCTCTGATGTCTTGATGAATGCTTTTGTAGGTCAAAAGCAACTGGTCAGAGCTAATTACACCATGATTTGTCCTGTGCAGGATGAAGTATTGGAGAAATGTATGAATTAACCCCATACTTATAACTTAATATCTAACAGTCTGGATAGAGAAATTCATAAAGTAAATGGTACTACTATAACAAAAATTTTTTTAAACAATTTGACACTGCAACACAATAAGACCTGCATGTATGTGTATTTGATGGTTTTATACAGGGTTGATAGACATACAAATTTGTTTGTTTGTTGGCTAAAAAAAAAAAAAGGTTATCATTTAGTTAATCAAATACATAATTATGTTGGTTTTTGTCTCACCGTTGATAACCAGGACAGTTGTCAAAGTAATCCAATAAACAGGCTAGCAAATGTGTTTCTGCCATTGATTACAGGAGAAAAAAGGAAAAATTAATTTTTGTCCAAGTACAGTTAAAACACTTTTAACCTGCATGGAGATATTGAATTGTCAGTATCACTGACTGAGTAACTTTCCAAATAAAGAAA